CCCTATCAAGAATCATGTATGTATATACTTTAAATGGTTGGGGCCGACTCCTTCATTGCTTTGAACACTGACCAAAAGATAATACTCTCTGCTTGGTTTTCAAAATTATGAAAAATGTTCTCTCCACTCACATCAAGTTCCTCCATGATCTCTTCGGCGTCGGCCGCATTCTTGTTCTCCAGCTTATCCAAGTAGCCCGCCTCGCTTACCACGAACTTCTTGAACTCACCCAACTGGATGGAAATGTGCTCCAGCAGGGCTTTCTTGTCGTAGACTCTCTCTGTGACCTCCGTTCAACGGGCATTCAGGCGGGCGAACTGCTTGGTCAGGGATCCGCACTCGGAGTGCTTGGTTTTGTCCTGCATCTCGTCCATCTGGAGTAGCAACTCTCCGCCCAGTTCGTTCAGTTCGCGGAACTGTGTCGTCTCGTGTTCGCAGGTCTCCTTGAGGGTCTGGAAACGGCACTTGGACTGGAAGAGCTAATTGGAATTGGCGATGTCGTTTATTCTTGATTTGGGGGTATTGGTGGCTCCCAATATGGAGGCTCGGAGGTCATACGAATACGGAGGTCAATATGGGCCACACCGAAAGCCATATCTTTGCCAATAGTCATCTGGTTCTTGAGCGGACTACCTTAAATGATTTGTGGATCGATTCTTCACAAATCTGCATCAAAATCCAGCAACAAAATATTTTTGAGGTTTTTGTCAATTTTTCTGGGTAGACCCCTTCGAAAATGGGGGAAATGCGTGAGAGGACAAAATCGCCCACGCCGAAAGCCATATCTTTGCCAATAGTTTTTCGATTCTTGAGCGGAATACCTTAAACGATTTGTGGATCGATTCTTCACAAATCTGCATCAAAATCCAGCAACAAAATATTTTTGAGGTTTTTGTCAATTTTTCTGGGTAGACCCCTTCGAAAATGGGGGAAATGCGTGAGAGGACAAAATCGCCCACGCCGAAAGCCATATCTTTGCCAATAGTTTTTCGATTCTTGAGCGGAATACCTTAAACGATTTGTGGATCGATTCTTCACAAATCTGCATCAAAATCCAGCAACAAAATATTTTTGAGGTTTTTTGTCAATTTTTTCTGGGTAGACCCCTTCGAAAATGGGGGAAATGCGTGAGAGGACAAAATCGCCCACGCCGAAAGCCATATCTTTGCCAATAGTTTTTCGATTCTTGAGCGGAATACCTCAAACGATTTGTGGATCGATTCTTCACAAATCTGCATCAAAATCCAGCAACAAAATGTTTTTGAGATTTTTTGTCAATTTTTCTGTATAGACCCCTTTGAAAATGGGGGAAATGCGTGAGAGGACAAAATCGCCCACGCCGAAAGCCATATCTCGATTCGATTCAAATCTGCATCAAAATCCAGCAACAAAATATTTTTGAGGTTTTTTGTCAATTTTTCTGGGTAGTCCCCTTCGAAAATGGGGGAAATGCGTGAGAGGACAAAATCGCCCACGCCGAAAGCCATATCTTTGCCAATAGTTTTTCGATTCTTGAGCGGAATACCTTAAACAATTTGTGGATCGATTCTTCACAAATCTGCATCAAAATCCAGCAACAAAATATTTTTGAGATTTTTTGTCAATTTTTTTGTATAGACCCCTTTGAAAATGGGGGAAATGCGTGAGAGGACAAAATCGCCCACGCCGAAAGCCATATCTTTGCCAATAGTTTTTCGATTCTTGAGCGGAATACCTTAAACGATTTGTGGATCGATTCTTCACAAATCTGCATCAAAATCCAGCAACAAAATATTTTTGAGGTTTTTTGTCAATTTTTCTGGGTAGACCCCTTCGAAAATGGGGGAAATGCGTGAGAGGACAAAATCGCCCACGCCGAAAGCCATATCTTTGCCAATAGTTTTTCGATTCTTGAGCGGAATACCTTAAACGATTTGTGGATCGATTCTTTACAAATCTGCATCAAACTCCAGCAACAAAATATTTTTGAGGTTTTTTGTCAATTTTTCTGGGTAGACCCCTTCGAAAATGGGGGAAATGCGTGAGAGGACAAAATCGCCCACGCCGAAAGCCATATCTTTGCCAATAGTTTTTCGATTCTTGAGAGGAATACCTTAAACGATTTGTGGATCGATTCTTCACAAATCTGCATCAAAATCCAGCAACAAAATATTTTTGAGGTTTTTTGTCAATTTTTCTGGTTGGACCCCTTTGAAAATGGGGGGAATGCATGAGAGGACAAAATCGCCCACGCCGAAAAGCCATATCTTTGCCAATAGTTGTCCGATTCTTGAGCGGAATATATTGAACGATTTGTGAATAGATTCTTCATAGTTTATAGTATAGTTTATGTTTAATACTTTTAAGCTTATCTACAAATAATCTAACTTAAATAGGAAATATAAAATTTTTTGTTTAATGGTTTTTGCTCCTTGAACTTGGTTCAGTGCCTATCCTGCAACTGTACCCAGAAGTCTGGTGGAGATATGATTAGGCCATTCAGGTTTTGGGAAAGATCTGGCAGTTTATCGCCTTTGGCCAAAACGAAATCAAAGTTCTGGCACATGGTCGCCGTCATTAGGAAAAGCATATTTCGGGCAAATGTTTCGCCAGCGCAAAGTCGTTTTCCTGCTCCGAAGGGTAATGAAACGTCCAACTTTAGATTGAGTTTTCCTTCCGAGTCAAGGAATCGCTCTGGGCGGAAGTTTTCCGGATCCTTCCAGACGCGAGTGTCCGAATGGAAGGCATACAGGCTGGGTATAACGATGGTGTCCTAGGAGAAGATACAACAAATAAACATAAATATGTTTTCAGAGTTTATGTAAAACTTACTTTGGGTATTTTGTAACCCAGCAACTCGGTATCCACCAATGCCTTGTGGGGCACATCAGAAGGCACCAGTGTCTCAATGCGTAATCCTTCGCGAATGGTGGCCTCTGTGAAGGGCATGCTCTTGCGATCCTCCAGAGTTGGGAGCCGTCCACATCCAACTACCTCATCTACTTCGCTTTGCATTCGTTTCAATACCTCTGGATAAAGCATCAAATATTGGATCAGCAAGGACAATTGAACCCCTATGGCGGTAAAGGCGGGAAATGAAAAGTCCACAAGGCCCATTATGAACTGATCTCGGTTAAAACCGAAACCAGGAGATTGACGCATCTCCGTTATATAAACATCCATAAAGTTGCGCTCCACGCCCTCCTCATAGGTTTCCAAATGACGGTCCACAAAATCGGCAAAGAACTTGTGAACAAACACGTTGGCCTCCAGCATTTGACTGTAGCCACTCAGTTTTGGCCATAAGTGACGGATCCAAGGAAGGATACTTAACATTCTCCCGTAGTCATCGGCGTTGCGCTGGAACTGCATCCCCAGTTGACAAAGCTTAATCAGTCTACCCATTTCCTGACGTGGTTGGCATTCGTTGTAGACAATGTGGAAATGCGAGTTGGCCGAGAAGGGATTAAAAAGTAGCGGAAGCTGTACGCGGTATCCACCTGGCTTAACCATGGCCTCCTCGTGCGGGTATTTTGGCCCGTTTCGGATCAGGTCCAGCATGTCTGTAAGCTGCTCATGGATCACCAACTCAAGTTGCTGAAAGCGACGCCCGAATCCAAAATCGCGAAGGTATCGAAGGATAAAACGACGCTGTTCCTTCCAGAGGGGTCCGTCTTGGAAGAAAATACCTGTAGATAGGAAAAACATTGTTTTGTTAATATAATAGAAAGTGTTTTTCTCTCAATTTCTTATCAGAAACGAGAAAGAAAGTAAAAGTAGACTTGTTTTTGTGCCAATTAGATAAGATAATTGCGGTGAATAACTTAGAAAATCAGACCTACTAACATTAGCCATCGCGTAGCAATCTTTGCGATTAAAAGTAATTAGTTGGACACTTAAATATTTGCTTGTATTAAACAGAAAATAAAATTAAAAAACCTTGTCACTGATTAGGCTTTAAATAAAATAAAAATAAACCATAAAATACAAGGTACATATTTATGTACATATATCAAGAGTTAATAGCTCACTAGTGATAAGAGTGCTTTGTTTTTTCCGCCTTTTCAATTAATTGCATATTGACCCGATTAATTGAAACAAAGCTATTATTAACATTAAGTTATCAGCATGACTATGACCTGACCAATAATTTCCATGTTACCTCGGATTTCCTCGCCGGGATCCCGCATGGCGGCCACAAACAGTCCGGGACGTCCATCGAACGCCTTGTTGTTGAGGATCTCGCGGACACCCTCGTAGTTGTGGACCACGGCCACGGGAAAGGGACCCACATGGAGTCCAATGATATCCGATTTGTACCATCGACTAAGGGTTAAGGCGGCCTTGTGCAGATACTTGAAATTTATCATCAAAAGGAAAAGGTAGCTCCCAAACAATGGTATCCTTGGGGGTCCTGTTAATTATCCGATTAGCTTATGCAAAATATGTCCTTTGGCTTCCCGACGAACCAGGAGGAAATCCTTTGGGTCGCGCCACTGCATATCGATACGATAGGCACAACAATACCGCAACGCAAGTTACCAGGAGAAGTTCCGTGATCATTTTAAAGTCCGGCCACCGACTGAGTTCATTTCTGGCGTGCAGTTGCGTTTTTGTAGCGTTCCCTTGTCCGATGATAATTCACACACACTCTCTCACTGGCCGCCGGACAGGAGCAATTACACAAAGGCAATCTATGTATATAAATCGGTACTTAGCCGATCGGACCGTTCGAGTGCCATTTCGTCTCAGTTATGACTTTTCTGATTGTCAGTTTAACAGCGGCGGCCAAGAAGTTTAGCCTTTTCATCATTTAAAGACTGTTTTCTAAATATTTTTTTTAGTCTAATTATTATTTAAAATAAAAATGGAATATTTTACAAATTCTAGGACAGTTTCTCTTTGACATAATCTTATATACAAATTTAATAAATCTATTTATAATTGACATTAAATACTTTTAATTATTGAACCTCAAGCAATTAGATTTTCAGTTTGAAATGTCGTTTTTAATATAATAGAGTTTGAGGAGGGTTGTGTTCCAGAGTTCAATATCAGATGTGATTTGTGGGCGAGGTGAGATCAATCTCAATTATGTCCACCTTGTCGTTGTCCCTGCGAGGCGGCGTAGAATAATTCCATTTCATCGACATTTTCTTCGAAAGCGAGACAAGTTGTCGCCATTTGTTTACGTCTATATTGTTTTTTTGAAGTCTTTGGCACAGAGAGTTCAGTCCCTCTGCGTCCGTTTCTGCCAAGTCAAAGGGTACCCATTGGTCGCCATCGGGGTTCCTCAGTACAGTGACACCTTTCACACGTGCCGGCAACGCATCGTGATTTATACTTGTCCCAGTGGCCCGTTTCAGCGCGTGTATGCTATTAAATGTAAACAAAGGAGCATATGTACTCGGGTGAGACATTAATTATATCATTATATAGAAAGAGTAACAGTTAATTTCGGCTTTTTGTTTTATATAAATGTGTGGATCATTGAATATTCCATAAAGGATAAGAGAATACTCGGAGAAGTAAAATAAAATAGGATTTTAATTCAAGATTATTATGAGGTATGGGGCTAGATGATTCTCCTTGATTTATCCTATATAAGCTTTAATATTGTTGTGGTATGCACTAACCATTCCATTAACTCGTTGTTGTGTTCCCGCACTGTTGCTTCTTGCTGTTTGGTGGCCTCCAGTTCCCGTGTCAGCTCCTTCTCCAGTTGCACTCGCTTGTCCAACTCCTGGCGGTTCAAGACAAGCAGCCTTTCGATTCTTTCATGCTCCCGTTGCTGCCAATCTGCTTTTTCCATTGCTGTGACTATTTAATAGGAAATATTTGTTTAATTTAGGTTTTAAAAAACTGTTTTGTTTACAAACTAACGCAGATTGTCATGAAATTTGGAACTAATTTTGCTGATGTTGGTCTCGCGGATCTGCAAACGTATCTGCTTGTTGAACAATTCCTTCAAACGCAGAGAATAGTTTGATTGATCAACTTTATGTGGTCCAACGGCCATATTAACAGGGTTTATATTTATTTTGGTAAAAATTGTTTTAAAATTCAGCGGCGTTTGTTTTGCTTGGCTTCCAGTTAGAGATGATACTTCCAGCGTACATAGTGCTGCCAGACCCTGTTAATTTTTGTCTGTTTCGAATTATCGATAAAAAATAAAGGAACTGTGGCAAGGGAAGGTCTAAAAATATCGATTACCGAATACCATCTGTAAGCCATTGTTTCTCATCTCTAAAAGCCGGCAAGCAATCAGTAAAAAAAAATCAAGTTAAGGAAACTTTAAATAAAAGCCAAAACGCTGCATTTTCCTGAATTTTTAAAATATTCATGCGGTTGTTGCTCTTCACTTGCACTCAACCCTTACGAAATCTTCTCGCCCGTAATTTTAGTAGCCGCGTTGGAAAGGTGAGAACAACAAAAATGTGGTGCAGAAAATTTGCAAGCTTTGTGCCAAAATCATTTTATGCGAACTAAGCAAATCTAAAAATAGTGGTAAGCAATTTTGCATAACGAGTGGACACCATACGTTTGCTGAAGACCTGGAAAAATCGCCCGAAAAATTAATTCCATGATGACACTGCAATTTAGTGCAAAAGATGCTCTACGCATTTTTTCTTCAAGAATTTTGGGAAACGGTCAACGACCCACTTGTTGTTCTTGCTTCGCGGCTCAAGGTCACTCCGTTTCTTTCTCTTTGGGGGTCCCTATATAAATTGATTTTATAAGTAGTAGTCTTATCTTTATATCCAAAGATATCATAAATTGCCAAGAAGCTTTGTTTATTGTCCATTTTTTTGATAACCTTGAACTTTAAAGAAAAAAAGCTTTAAATATTGTTTCTTGCACAAAAAGGAGAAACTTCTAAGGAGTTACTCCTTTATTTTATGTTACCCCCACCAAGACCCGGCCAAACCTTATCTTTTTGAAACCTCTCGTGATTTATGGATGACTGCATCAATTGACGGCGAGTAAAACTGAGAGACTAGCAGTGCTACTGCGGTACAAAGTCGTCGACTGATAAGCATGTGGGGCACTTGGCAAGGTAGTAAATCCGAGATTAGCACGTATATCTTATCGCAATGGCTTATCGCTGGGATTCAGTGGCATTCCCTAAGCTTCGATTCAAAAACTCTACTCATTCTTGTTATTTTTCTCCCACAGATGGCAACAGACCTGAAATTCAACGCTTCGCTGGGGACCAGCGATCCCCAGACCCATCCCGTACTGATTATCGGCCAATTGCGCCATCTGAATCTCGTCAAGTTCGCCGATTTGGCAAGCAAACTGTGTCCTAGAGTGAACGAAGAAACATTCCAGAATGCAGTCGCCTGTTTACATCCGGCACCGACTGATAAGGTTTCTCTCTACCTGGATTCGGCCACTATAGCTGCGCTTCCTTTGAAGGCTTCCCGTCATAATACGGCCTCAAGAGCTCATGCCATTACCCGTCTGGTGAAGACTCACGTGATGAACGTACCGGAGGAGACCGTGGTGCTAGTTTGCGAGCGGGACAACCTTTTTGCCAGCGCTTGTGCGGTGGTTCGTGCTTTCCCGCTATACTCTCGCAAAACCGGCAATGGGCTGGCGCCAACTCCGGTTAAATCCGAGCAAGGTTGTGGCGATGGAGCTAATGACACTAGCCGAAATTTGGTCAACGTGGAGTTTCTGGTGATCGACAAGGAAGGCGGCGTGGAAAGTTGTCCACTGTCGGAGGACGAGATCAATTGCCTCAATGAGACCACCAGGGCCATAAGGCTAACCGCTCGCATCGTCGACATGCCCTGCAACGAGATGAACGTTGACCACTTTATCCAGACTGTCGAGGAGATCGGAGAAGAGCTCTGCATTAAGCCAGAGGTTATCCGTGGCGAGGAGCTAAGGGAACGTGGGTTCGGAGGAATTTACGGCGTGGGTAAGGCTGCTGCGGTGCCACCAGCACTGGTGGTACTTTCCCATCTCCCGAAAGGTGCCCAGGAGACCATTGCATTGGTGGGCAAGGGCATTGTTTACGATACCGGCGGCCTGAGCATCAAGGGCAAGACCGCCATGCCGGGCATGAAGCGGGATTGCGGTGGAGCCGCTGCTATTTTAGGGGCCTTCTATGCCGCCGTGAAGTGCGGATTCAAGGATAATCTGCACGCTGTCTTCTGCATGGCTGAGAATTCTGTAGGGCCCAATGCCACAAGGTGGGTTACCAATTTTAATATTACTCCCAAGTTGTTTGTAAAAATATATCTTTATTATGCAGACCTGATGATATTCATACTTTGTACTCTGGACGCACAGTGGAGATCAACAACACGGATGCCGAGGGCCGTCTGGTGCTGGCCGATGGCGTAGTCTTTGCTAATAGGGATCTAAAGGCCAACATTATTTTGGATATGGCTACATTAACTGGTGCTCAGGTGAGTCTAAAATTTACTCTAATTTAGTCTGTGGTTAACTTTCAACAGAATGCCAGCACATTTTCGAAAGCCACAAAATAATTCTACCAATGTCCAAAGTAATTTCAGTTTCGAGATCTTTACACCTTCAATCCGGGGCAACCAGGTTGTAAGAATGAATTTGTGGGCGGGTGGCCTTGGCTCTACTTGAGCCACAGCGCTGTTGTTATGCGAGAATTTATGCCATGCTTTATAAAAGTCACGAGGTTAATTGGAAAAATAAATTGCAAATTTGGTTTTTCGCTGGCAACTTGGAGGAATAGCAGCGGCAGTATTGGCAGACCAGCAACTGCAAAGGATTCGTCGTTTGTGGCCGTCGGATGGTTGTGCTGGTGGGTGGTTCGGTGGGGTGGGATGGGGTTTTCCCATTTTCCGCTGCAACGGCAGAGCAAACTGAGTAGCTGCTGCGATGGAGCACAATTACCATAAATCTTGACTGCAATTTGCTTAAAATATGATGCCAATTTACGTTATTTGTGGTTCGATGGGAAATAAATCGAAACTGGCCATGGCGTGGCCTGTGCTTGCGTTGTCCTCCTCCACCCACCGAAAGCTGCATTGTTCTCCTCTTATCATTCCTTCTTTTTTTCGGTCCTGAAAATTCCTTGGTCTACTCAGCCTAAAAACATCCAAAAACCCCTGCGTGCTTCAACTGGCTCCAACATTTTGTTATTTTGTTTAGAATTCAGTTTTTGGCGTTTTGCTTGTTGTGCTTAATTTCATTACACCCAGACACACACCTAGACGGGATGCAATAATATTAATTACCAACATTGGCGCAACTGCCACTGCCACTGCCACTGCTAGTGCCACTGCAACAGCAACAGCAGCAACAACAAATGGCAGCCAACACTTTTTCGCTTTTACATTTTATGTTCCTGCTGCTTGTTACACCTTTTGCTGCTGTATTTTCCTGAATGCTGGTGGTATTTGTGCACTTGAAGAAATTTTAAATAAAGAGAAAATTTAAATATTAAATTTAAATATTAAAATAAATAATAAAAATCACTGCCAGTAAATTAAAAGCTTTAAAATGGTATAGATTTATTCAAGGACCGGCTTTAAAAAATATGTAGAAATATTTCCTCAAGTTTGTATTTGATTTCCTTAAGTTTCCATTGATTTAAATATATCCTTTTCGCCTTTATGGTTTTGCATTTTGTAGTGTATTGCTGGTGTTGGGGCCTTTGTTGCTTCTGCTGCCATTGGAGCTGCCTTCATTTGTCCAGCTGCAGTTGAACACGGGCGCCATGGAGTCCTTGCCTGTTGTTTGGGTGTTGCTTCTGCTAAATAACCTTGCACCTTTTTATTGCTGGTCGCGTCGGAAGCTCGCAATTTTCGTGCTTACTCCTCTCAACACCCGGTACACCCCCAACCCTTAACATTGTTAGTTGCTGTACAGTTTTATTGCTGGCATTTTGTTGATTGTTACTTGTTTTCTATCAAACACCTCCCCTAAGTGGGAGTGGGAGTCTATTCTTAAATATATATCTCCACGGCCATGCCGTTGAATATTTCATTTGCGATTACTCACATCCAAAACAATACTATATCTGGTTCCAGGGCGTAGCAACAGGCAAATATCACGGCGCCATATTGACAAACTCGGAGACATGGGAGGCAAAGTCGTTGCAGGCTGGACGCAAATCCGGCGATTTATTGGCGCCTATTATTTATTGCCCCGAATTGCATTTCTCCGAATTCGCCTCGGCACTGGCTGATATGAAAAACTCCGTTTCGGTAAGTACTTTTTCCAAATGTAATAAAATCCAATTGGAAAAGTTGATCCCAAACTTAAGAAAGAATATGGATTAAACAATAAGTCTGTCTTTTAAGTTTTAAGTTATTTATAGGAATGCCTTTAGTATTTATTTTAAATCTAAAAGATTTCCTAGAAATCCTATTGTAGATAAATTCTCCCCCCAAATCTTTTAAAGTTTTCTCAACCCAAATTCCTTTAAAACAAACTATCTACACTTGCCATCTCATCCTGCTTGATTCATCTCCTTTTTTTTGTAGAATTTTTGTAGATTAACAGAAGCATGGCTTGCCCCAAATCAATCCCCAAAAGTAGCTTAATTTATGCATTATCGAAGACACCCGTGCCGAACTTTTAGGGCCTTCCACATCCGAATTTTCCACAGATGAAAAGAGAGTGACTTTGAGAAAGTTTTAATCAAGTTTCGATGTAACTTTATTCATTTGTTTTCAATTCATTTTCCGCTTTTCCCTCACTTTTTTTTTCTTCTTTCTATTCTTTTTTTTAAAGAACTCCCTAGATATTTTACACACACATTTTTAATTAACTTTATCGCTTGCACTCAATGTTGTTCTTTTGTCTTACACACGACCGCACGGTTGCGGAAAAATGATGAACGTCATGTTTGGTTTAAAGATTGATTAGTATTACTCTGATTTATGCCACACACACACACACACACATACACCGGGACGGACACCCTAGCATCGCACTCTCTGGTCCATGTAGCATTCACATGTATCAAAAACTTTGGCGTTCAATCTACGCCAGCAGCCACTTTTGCAGCCATTAGAAAGGCCAGAGGATTGAGGAATGGGCCGAGAGTAGGAAACCCCGACTGGGTCTGGGGCTTGGTGAGCCATAAACCCATCTCTGGGCGCTGGCCAGCAGAGAGCGAGGTGCGTCGGTGCCTCGGTTGCTCGGTGCCCCCAGGCTCTCAGTTCCAGTTCCTGCCACAACAGCCAACCAAATCGAGTTACCTTATTGTACGATGCAAGCGCTTCGGATCAATGGTCATTCATCATTGTCACGCCGTGGGCGGAGGTTCGATGTGGCTTGGCGGTGGGACTGGGATCTGGCTGGCTGGCTGGCTGGTGCGTAGATGCCGAGCGGGTCAAGTGGCATGGCAATTTTGGCCACCTGCCAATCGCCCATCCAGCCCTACTTCGATGGGTACACCTAAAAAAAAAGGGTCTGAAACTAGAAGTTATTCTTAAATGGCAATACCAACTAGATATTATAATATTTTTTAATTAAATTAATTTTTTATAAGTTCTTTAAATTTTATAATATTTTCTTTTCTGTTTGTTTTTGTCAGTTATGCCTCCATGTTTGGATGTTTGATTTTTCGTCAGGCTCCCTTCGGCCTTCCTCACACCGGTTGTGTGTGTCTCCTCTCGAAAAAAATGGGAATCAAGTCAAAATATCACACCATTGCAGGTTGGCCATGCCACACACAACACACCCTCACCATCACACACCCACACCCCCTCCTTCGTCCTGCTGCAGTTGATGTGACAGCGCCGCGCACTTTGTCATTGGTGTCTGTGATAAAGTGTTTTAAATTCCAAATGCATTCAACGTTAAATGCGAAAAAGGTGAAATACCTGCCCACTAAGCCACACCCTCAACGCCAAACGCCATCACCGTCCGCCCGTGTCTCCCATTTTTTTTTGTGCCACTTGGCGGGATGGTTTTGAGGCAAATTCCCACGCGTTGCGTTTAAATTACATGAGCTCGCTTTTTTTCGGACTGCCTTCTGGTGCCTTTTATTTTTTTGTTTGTGCCTTGGGGGAGTCTTTTCCCCTAGTTTGCCACTAAATGGAGGGATTATGAGTGTTGTTAGCGGTCGCCAGGGCATTTTGTTGCCCGCTGGCTTTGGCTTTCGTTGCCTGGCTTTCGTTTCAGCTCATTTTGGCAACCGTCAGCAGGTAGCCAGCCAGCCAGCTAGGGGGCTGGGCAGATGGTCCTGGTCCCCTATCTGCCATCCATCTGGCTTTTAAATAACCGATTCCCATTTGTTCCGCACCATTTTCGAGTTGTGATCCCTGCTCTCGTGCGGCGATATTTGTGGCTGTCTGCCATCAGGAGCGTTGTCCTTGCCGCCGATTACACGCTGCGAGTTCGCGAATTAAATGAAACCATTTAAGCCGATAATTAGGGGATGTCTCTTGACGTTCGAAACTCCACAAATCGATGTGGAAGTGGGGTTTTGGTTTTCCGTCTGACCATTCCGGAATGCTGCTATTTATGAAACAGTCTCTTTGTGGCTTACCCTTTTGAAATTGGAGCCGAAATCGAACAGAAAGCTTAAAGTTGGGAATATATAAATCAAGTTCTGTTTAAGAAAATAATTTAAAGGAAAAATTCCAAAGAAAATGACCGAAAAACGTATTAATTTTCGATGAACAACCATCCCCAATCTGTTTCGTATCAAGGGCAGCAGAAAGTTCTCATTAAATTACCATGTTCTGCGAATTACTTTCCGTTTTTTCCTTTTAACCTTTGGGCCTTTCCTCGCTTCGATTTTAAAACGAAATTTCGTCTTCCAAGCCACTAAGCAGGAGCAAACAAAAATGGAAGAAAGTAAAAATAATATTATCCCAAATTACGGCAACTTTATGACCGCGACTGTCCGACCTAGAAGCCATTTATGCATCCAACCACTCATTCATCCGTCCACGGTTGGCTTTTCCCAGTAAATCAGTCTTAGACTTTTCTTTGTCTGTGGCTTTGGTGGTAGTAGAGTAGAGTAGAGTCGAGGGGTGTCATAAGTAAAACATAAGCAACACGACGGCGGGACAATAAAATTTGCTTAAACATTTCCAATTGTTTCTCAATTTCCGGCGGCGACGGTGACGGTGGCGGCGGCGCGTAGGAATCCAAGTCGAAAGTTGCTCGACGTTTTATGACTGGGAAATTTTCCCATTGTTGGTAATTGATTTTTATGTTAAATCGTAAAAAGCTGTGCTCGCTTTCAGAAGACGAGCATGAATTTTAGATAAACCCATTCCATTTCATTTGGATTCGTGTGGCACAAGCCAAGCAACGTGTTGCAGCGTTTTGCGGTACAAGCGGCACACCCGGCGTATGCGTAATTTTTTTTGTTTTCAGGTTCAACCCAAGTTCAGTTCATTTTTATTGGGCGTCGACATTTTAAATTCAATTGTAGGGCGACTTTTTACGTGGTTTAATGAATTAAATTGAACTTTTTATGTGGAAAAAGTTTTTTTTACGGCCCGACCTCCAGGCGCCTAATATTTTGCCAGCCAGAGGCTGGCTCGGCTCTTTTGCGGTTATGCTTAGCATGGGTTAAGTTTTTTGATTAAAGTATGCCGCAACAGTTTATAAATAATGCCCCAGCTCAGTGGTTTAAATGCAGATTTCACCAGGGGGAGAGCCAAGTCCAGTTTGGGTTGAAAGTTAAAATGGTCGGTCGTTGGTGGAGGGGAGGTGGGAAGTCACGTAATTTGCGAAATGATCCCCATTTCCGTTGCCTACTTGAGGGGGCGGCAACGAATACCGGCGACTTTGTTAACACAAATCTTTCCGCTTGTTATGCTTGGGTTTCCGTTCAACTTTATCCACCCAAGGCACTGGTGTTGAGAGTATTTCTTTTTTTTAAAGAATTCAAATTGTTTGAAAAGCGTTTCTTACAAAAATGGAATTTAAAAAATCAGAAAATCGATAAAAGTAATGCATTTAATGGAGTTTTTTGAGAAAAGTTTGACACCAAAACTAAGAGTCTTTGTGTAGCGAATATCTTCCATCGTCATGTTTGGCTTTGTAAATTTTTTCCGACGTTTGGCCTGCGGCGGTAAAGTTTTTAAAGTGCTGACTGCGACATTTTGCGAAAATTGAATAAAAATTGTAGTCGCCTTCGGGGCAAATCGTTCGATGTCGTCGATGGCAAATCCTTTCAGAGATCGCGCCGCTTATTCAATGAATGAGTAATTGATACTCGCAACCAGTTGATGGCCCGAGGGCGTGAATCTGCCATGGATGAAATCCCAACCCCGTCCAATATTCTCCCCCCGCGTGCGCGTATTTAGCCCAGATTGAATATCACTAACCATGGCTTAAATGTGAGACAATGTCGCCAGCTGGCTAATTTCAATTCAAGTTAATCGCAAATGAATCGCATCATCGCCGATTGCATGGTTGTTGAATGCGCTTAGCGGATGTTGGGGCGGATACAGCTTCGGATGGTGTCAGGATTGGACCAATCTATGGGTGACGGTGTGGTGACGGCGGTGTCGTCGGATGGCGGTTTCGCACGGCGGTGTTCGCCGGTCACGTTCCCAACCGCAATTAGTCGGCGACCCATTGTCAATTTCTGGGGGAGATGGCGGCGAAAGGGACGCGGGCAAGGAGATTTGATGTAGCTTCGTTATTTACAAAAGGCCTAGAGAGATACAAACACAGATATACGCACACACAATCAGTCCAGGGCCTAATGCAATCAATGTTAATGACATTATGTTGACAAATGTTTGCCATTATTGATGAAAGCCCGATTCGATTCGATTCGATTTGGCCATTCGCTTTTCAGGGCTTACATGGTGCCCTTCTATGTCAAATGTGTACCATAGAGGATGTGCGTGATCTGACCTCGCTGTCAGATTTGTAGAATGTTAATTAGAAACATTTAATTAGCACCAAAGTTACAGCGAGACCTCGTCGGCTATTCAATTTGAAAAGAAGCTTATAAAGCGTAATCGCATTTATTACAACCAATTTGTTGTCAGGCGATGTAGTATTATGTTTGATTTTACGAGGGCCTTTGTTCAAAATTCAATGTCTTTTATAAAGGAAGTACGTATTAGGAGCTATGTTGTTATCATTTCGTTTAAAACATATACATAACTCACAAGAAACCACGATAAAAGTTTTCTGACAGCAACAGTCTGGCTTACCACTTCCGTGTTCATCTTCAACTGAATTGGTTCATTGGTAGATTTTCCATTTGGAAAGTTTTGATGCCCACATATGCCCCGGGCGAATAAAACTGTTTTGACGAAGCGTTTGAAAATTTAGGAGTACTAGACTTCGCAGAGAAGGCCGCAAGTTTCATAACAAAAGCTGGCTATTAGCTGCAAAACCGCCAACAGCAATTGCTAGTGCTGCATGGCTAGAAAATGAAATGCAGTTTCGAAAGCAACAGGAAGCAATGATACACAGAGAAAAGACTTGGCCATAAATATTAAAAGTACATATATTCATTGTTTCAACTAGATGTGAATTTAAAGATATCTGTCTGAAATCTGCCCTGTTCTTAAATTTTAAAAAAGTTAATAAAGACATCATTATTTGTTGGCCTGTGAATCCTTAGTGCGATTTTCGTCTAGTGGCTTCAATGGACTTTTGACTTCCGATGTTTGCCAATGTGTGTGTTTGCCATTTTCATCTTGAGGCGGAACCCAGCACGCTGTCATGTAATTTTCACTGCTCGTCCGTTGGTCCTGTCCGCTCTATTCTGTAAGTCCTGCTGCTGAAGTCTGGTAGTAGCTGTTCCTTTCTCTTCTTGTTTTTTTTTTTTTTGGCCAACTGTCAGCAGAGTGTTCTGCCTTTATTTGGCTGGTCTTCCTTCCATATATGGGTATATGTATGTATGGGTGCACATGTGTAAACTGTACTTTATGTTTGGCATTTAAGCGCTGCAATTTCCGCTAAAGTTAGTAGAGCGACTGCTTCCGTTACGCAGCTGCCAGTGCATGGCATATAATTTAGGCATTAGCACACCCAGACCTGCCACTTTCGAGAGGGAAGTCTGAAGAATAAACGAAAGATGGCTCTTTCAAATCATTCAAAAAAGTATTTTCAAGTTGGTTTTCTGGTTTCTTTTTTAATTCAACAAACATTTCTTTATTATAATTGGAAGTTATAAAAAAAAACTGCCTGAACTTTTAAACTGCCCTCGTTTTTTTCCATCTATCTCTATAAATATACATTCTTGTTGGTCGGCACGGCAGGACGCTTTTTTAATAAAGCGCCGCCAAGTTTTGCTTGTTGCATGCTTTTACAAACACCCATACAACATATATGTGTATAGCCGTTGGATATAGACCACATAGGGACACGCACACATCCGATTGTATATGTCATCATGTCTTACTGCGATTTTTCCCTTCCGCTTGCAGGATCGACAGAATGCACAATCGTCCTGTGCAGGGCTTTTCATAGCCGCCCATCTGGGCTTCGACTACCCGGGCGTCTGGATTCACGTCGACATGGCCACGCCCGTTCATTGTGTAAGTGATTCGACTTTATTTTATTATGTTTTTTAATATTTTCATATTTATTTATTTTCAGGGCGAACGAGCCACTGGCTATGGAGTGGCATTGCTGCTAACGCTCTTTGGAAACCACACAAATTCTAAGCTGCTGCAATCCATCGCTCCATCCCAAGAGGAGCCGCCAACCAAACGGATGTGCCGCGATTAAGTGCCCCTCTCCATGTGCCTTGCCAGTAATTGTGCATTTCAAGCAACTATTGTCTAAACAGCAGCCAGTTTTTGTAGCCAAAAGGCCTTAAAATTTTAATTATTTTAGAAATACAAGAAGTTTGCAATGTGTGGTAATTTTCTTTGAGATTTCTTATAATGAGTATTGAATGCATTAATTTTTAAAATAAAGAGATATTTGAGAATTTTAAAATGCCTGAAAACTAAACAATAAAATCAAATAAATAAATATGAAACGTTTAGAGTTGCTTATTTTATTTCTTAAAGGTTGAAATTTTATATAAAATGGAATATTCCTATATCTAAGGTAAGTGGAACCTTTACATTTGATATAATTGTATTTGTTTTAGCCTTTTCTCTTGTTTAATTAATACATGTCCAAGTGCCGTTCGCCAGTTTGGTCCTTGACTTTTATTTCATCCTTTGGCTGTTCAATTAAGCTACGCTCTGCATGTCGCTGTCGCATTTGCTGATGTTGCTGTTGCTGTTGCAGGTTGCTATTTCTGTTGCATATATTTCTCTTGCCTGGTGCCCGACGTCTAAGTGGATTCATCACCATTCGCCATCACCGACGCCATCATCATCATCGTCAAAATGATCATCGTTAGAAATGGCATTCTCTTTCTGGCTGTGATAGTGCAATTGTGCTGGCTGGTGGCAACCGTTCTCGCCGACAGAACAAATTAAATTGCAACATCATTGTGTTACGTCGTCGCATCACATCGCTGCCGTCTTTGTTGCCTACTTTTCTGCGCACCAGAGTTTCATACTCTCGCGTTTGTCAGCTGTCAGGGATCCCCCCGGAGAGGAGGCGGGCACACGCCCCTGGCAACGCCCACGACTAATGCCAATGCCGTGCACTTTTATTTTCTACCTTCTCGTCTCCACCAATTTGCCTCAATTTTTATTTGCTTTGTTACGCCATTTGCTTTTCGGGGCGCTTTTATTGTTTAATTAGCTTGAAATGCGTTTATTTTCATTTGTAAGTGCTGTAAACAGCGCGTCGGGTGAGTTCTCTAGTATGTGTGCTCGGGTGTTTTTGTGTTCGTGTTCAGGTGATTTGTTAAGCCCCGGACCGGAGTGGAGTATGGAGCTGTTGGCCCCGCGGGGATCACTCGACCTTCGCACTTGTCTCCCCCACCATACTCAAGATAGGAATTGCGATTGCTATTGCACTTGCCATTGAATGGTGGCACATGCTGCCAGTGCATTTAACATTCCAGAGTGGATTCAAAGTGTTTTGCTACCATGGGGGTTATCCTAATAGGGCATTAGGTTGAGTTTGGGGAACGGAAGATTTCAAGGCCGTAAAAGAAAAACTTTGAACTGGGATTTGTGGAGCGTACTCGACAAAAAGTAGTATTTTAAATCAATTACTCTAGAGACATAAACATTTTGCTTAACACTTTGTATGATTTAATTTGTTCCCGGTAGATTATTTACATAAGTTACGCATATTTTGATAAAACATATAAAATGATTTGCATAATTGAATTACTACACTTAAACCTGCTTTCAGCTTAGCCGGTGCGATTATTTGCGCTCTGCACACAAGCGAAAATTATAGCAGCTTTGGTATTTGCGAAGCCAACACAAATATTTGACAGATGCGAAAATATTTTTATTCGTGTTATTCTATGATTAGTAATAAACCCCACCCCACCACCGGAAGCGAAAGGTAAAAATGTCCATAACCAATATTTAAATTGTGTTTTTTGCCTTTCACAAATTATGATTTTCCTCACCATTTAAACTGGGAAAACAACAAACGGCCGGGAAATTGGTTTGTTGACTGCAAACATATCACTCATACGACGCGTTGGCGGCAAGCGATCGACCTCGACCCCCATAGAGATTGAACCCTAAACGGCTTACCAGCTGGACTCAAGCAAGTGTTTTATCCTCGAAGGACGATGGCCGGAGCTGCAGCCTCTGGCCAGTGGCCATAAATATCTTCACACTGCGTATTGGTCAACAGACTGAAATGCACTTAAAGAAAATATAAGAAACTTCTCGAAATTTGAGTTTTAAAAATTATTCTTAAATAAAAAAATAGTATACTATTCTATTAGGACTATGATTAAAATGAAGTAAGTATATCTGTGTAGTAAATATATATTTTTGACTTTTAAAAACCTTTGTTTTCTGTGGGTCATCGTTCATTGTCCATTGCCTCTCGTCGGATGCCTCTGCAGCAGTTGACTTTTGCCGCATTGTCGCTTGCCCCCAAGAGCATTTGCTCGGTTTTTTATGCTCACAACTCAATTTGAAGCTGAAACAGAGACTAAAGCTGTGAGCTGAAGCTGAATCCGAAGCTGAAGCCAAACGGATAGAGTGCGTGCCATGGCACTGGAACAGAAGACGGCCCTGAAAACACAAGAAACAAAAGCAATATTAGAATTTGTTGCCGGGCCGTGTGGCTTTTGTGGCACTTTTCATTGTTTTTTCTCCAACATCCAGAATCCAGCATCCTTGTTTTTGTTTTTCGGTTTTGTTGCTGGTGTTGCTGCCACACGACAGCTTAACCCCAGCACAGCATTTAAGCTGCACAAGTTTCGAACAAATCCCGCCCAGATCCATAATTCTTTGCCGCACCTAAAGTGACAGAGATCTCGGCTTAGCGTGCCGTAGCCATCTTAATGTTTAATTTTTATGCTCTGGCCAATGAATTATGCAGGGTGCCAGCGAGCCACGGAGATTTCCTCTAATTCCCACTGCTCGATATGAAAAATAGATCATAATTTTTTCAGCCACTGAGCCCTGTAGAAAAAATAACAGATAAATAATAGAAAACGATGAGAGGGACACCGGACAAATTGTCAATTTATAAAGTGAAAGTTTCGGTGGGCTAATGGATGCCAAAAGTTTAATAAATAATAAATTAACCAAAGACTTTTGCGGTTAGGCCTGAATAAGAGGGAAAACAATTCGAGGCTTTCCGTTCTCCGAGGAGCAATAGCTGTCATAAAGAAAAACCCAACAACAGTTGGAAAACGTGAAAAGTAACCGCAGAGCAGGTGGTGGTGGCGATGGGCCGTGAGGTCGAGTAGGGTGGGGATGGCCTCCCTCTGGCGGCCATGGGGCAATAGCTTAAAATTAGCTATAAGCAAAATTACTGTAAAATGGTTTAAATGAGTGTAAGGGCAGAATATAATAAGCCCAAAGGCAGCGCATAATAAAAGAGCTAGCAGCCAGCAGCAAGCAGCCGGCAGCAGCGAGTGGTCGCCGGCGAAAAGCGAAACAAAAAAGGACGCAATGGGGGCCAGGACCTTGGCCACCTAACCAGCCCATACAACCGTCCATGATCCTCCCAGGGGGTGCTCTGTTAAATGAAGAATAAAGCAGCAAATACAAATACAAAATGCGCCGCGTTGTCTGTCGAAGTGCACAAAGGAAAATTTTACAAAGGAATATGAATATCATACAATTTTTTAAAAATGAGAGTTTTTTATTTGCTCAACTACAACCTCTTATTAAAGCTTGTAATACTTTTTTTAAAGCAGCATTTTTGCATAATTTTTTATTTGAGTGTAAGCCTTGCAGTCTGATGGCAAACATATTTTATGAGTTTTATTGTTGGTGCTGGTGCTCCTTTTTCTTGTCTCCTGGCGAGGCTGATAATAAAACTTGCCCGATGGCAGGCGGCAGAGCCCGCTGGGAGCATAATCGAGCCTTTTACTTTGCTCCTGGGTGGCTGAATGTAAAAATATGTCGGGTGTGGAGTGTGTGCGAACAAAAAATAGAAAATATTTAAAAGTCAATACAAGAAGAGAATTTTAAACATACTTTGTCTGACATAAATTTTTAAAATACGTATTGTTTTTAATGGAAACTAAGAAGGATTCCTAGAGATTGATTTCAGTTATTTCTTATATGATTTCAGTTATTAACTTATAGTCTCTTCTAAGCTAATATTCTTTAACTAGTTTTATACTTATTACTTCTTCAAAAAAGTTTATTGAAATCCAATGCTTTGAAAGAAATAAACGTTTTGTTCTTTTCTTTACATATTTTTGCAATCAAGACCTTGGGAAAAAAAGAGTCATAAAAATCGCTTAAAGGCGTCAAAAAAGGACCTGCACCAGGATTGACAACAACATGAGCATATTTAAATTGCTTTTGGGTAGCTAATAAAAAGCTTGTAATCAAGTGGGACGGTCATGGAGATGGGATGGGGTAAACTTTTAGCTTCAGCTTCAGTCGAGTCACAAACTTGGACATGTCAGGCACAAAAAATATATAAAATAAGAATGAAACAAAAAATAAAATGCAAAAAAAAAAAAAATATGCCACTAGGATATGCATGAGCAGGAGCTTATGCACAGCATAGCTCATGAGTTTTGCATGGAGTTGTGCAGTTGATAGTTTGTTGCCATCTTCCTGGCAGCCGGATATGCAAAAGGACCAGCAGCAGGGAGTAGAAAAGTGGGGGAGCAAGACTCACAGCAGCCAGGGCAGTAGCTGGAGTGGTAAGGATCCCTGCACTTATCCAAGTGCACAAAGCAACTAAGCAAAACACTCGTTGCAGCCAACTTAAGGCTAATTTAAGTGACTGAATCTGTATCTTTACCCGAGTGGGCTGCTGGATGTGAGAGTGTGTGAGAATGTTCAGGGTGCGTGTCTTTTGCTCCTTCGGCAGGACCCTCCATGGATTCGAGGAGCAGCTACGACTTTTACCTGGTCCAAAGTGTCCCGGGTTAAGCTGCTCATCTGCCTTTTCCGTTCAGCTTGCCATCATCAATGAAAATGCTCGTAAATTATGCAAGCCTAGGAAAATAAGCTGCACTCAAGTGCGTTCTCTTTCCTCGCCTTTTCTTTCATCTTACTCCTTTACTCCTTGCCTCCTTGGCCACCTTTTTCCGCCTCTTCGTCGAGCACTTTGCTCTTCTCGGCATGCACTTTGAGACGGTTGAACGGGGCGTATGCGTGATATTAAATTAAATTACACAACGGCCACGCAACGTTGCTGCCAGTAAACAGCATCTCAAGTACAGTCTTAATGCTTAATATCAGCTGAGCTTGATTACTTCCTATCAGTGTTTTTCCCACATAGCGTATGCTTTTAGATTGGCAGTTTTTTTGATTTTTTGGTTTATCAATCAATATTTGATTAAGAAA